ACCTCTTAAAGGCCCCACCTCTTAATACCATTCAAAAGGCTATTCAATTCCAACATAAATTTTAAAGGACATCTTCAAACCATAGCAGTATCCTATACAACAGATTTGTTAAGCTATGGGAAGCACAGCACATACTGTCACTCATAAGGGCCTTGGTTAAAATTCATTGCAGCTGCAAAAAAAGAAAAAGAAAAAACTTAAAAAATAAATAACAGCCGGGCTCGGTGACTCAGCCTGTAATCCCACGCCTTTGGGAGGCTGAGGTGAGTGGATTGCCTGAGCCCGAGGGTTCACGACCCGCCTGGGCAGCGAGACCTCATCTCTACAATAAATCAAAACATCAGTCAGGCGTGGTAGTGCATGCCCGTAATTCTGGCTACTCGGAAGGCTGAGGCAGAAGGATCGCCGGAGCCCAGCAGGTCGAGGCTGCGGTGGCCGGGAGCGGCCACTGCACTCCAGTCTGGGCGACAGAGTGAGACTCCAACTTAAATAAATAAATAAATAAATAACCACCTTTACCCCTGAGAAAGGGGATGGAATTCAACATGACTAAAAAAGTTTAAATATCCCAAAGAATCCACAAAAAGCTCCCAGAAATAGTATATGAGTTTATTAAGGTCAGAGAATATGTAATCAGCACATAAAAATAAATTCTATTTCTATATATGGCAGTAAACAGTTGGAATTTGAAATAAAATTGTACCACTTAACATAGCACCATAGAATGAAATACTTAAGTATAAACCTTACAACATATATGCAAGATATATGTGCTGAAAACTACAAAACACTGATGAAAGAAATAAAATAAAATGAAGAAAGAAATAGAATGTGCACATGGTGTTAGAATGCTAAATATTGTTAGGATATCAAATTGACCTACAAATTGACCTACAAATTCACTGCAACCTCATTGAAAATCCCATCATATCTTCTTGTAGATACCAGTAAGTTGACTCTAGAATTCATATATAAGGACATTGTCACTAAAATAGCCAAAACAAATTTTTAAAGCAGAAACATATTAGAAATTACAATAAATGGAACTGTGTTGTATTATCCAAAGGATAGATCTATAAATCAAAGGAATAGGATGGAGAAGCAAAAAAATAGATCTACACAAATATGATCAACTAACTTTTATTTTTTATAAATTACAAAAGCAACTCAATTAAGGAAGGATAGTATTTTCAAAAACTAGCACTTGAACAATTGGAAGTGCATATGCAAAAAAAAAAAAATTGAACCTTGACCTGTATTTCACAGCTCAAATTAAAATTCCCTCAAAGTAAATGACAGAACTAAGTATAAAAATATAAAACTACAAACCTTCTAAAATTTTAGAAGAAAATAGAGGATAATATGAGTGTAACCTTAGGTTAAGCAGAATTGTTAGCTGTGAGACCAGTGCATGATCCTTAAAATAAAATCACAATATATATTGGACTTTACCATATTAAAAATTCTGTTTTGTAAAAAAAAAATGATAAGATAATGAAAAGACAAGTTACAGGCTGGAAGATAATATTTTGAATCACATATCTCACAAATTTCTTCCATGCAGAACACATAAACAACCCTCTAAATTCTCTAAACTCAACAAAACAATCTAAAGATCTAAAAATATGCTTCATCAAAAAAAGATGAGAAATAAGTATATACAAGTTGCTCGATGCAATTATTATATGGTCCAGCAATACCCTTTCTAGCTATTTACCCTGCAAAACCTTAGAATTTACAGTTACAATATGTCTTTCATTAGCAAACTTTTTAGCAAATTTTTTAATTGCTCTTAAGTTGAAAAAAAAGTTCTCAGTTAGTGAATGAATGCACACTCTTGTTATATGTCCTTAAAATACAATACTATCCAACAATGAAAAAATAAAAACATTTTGATTCATGCAACAGCATGGATGCATCTGAAATGCACTTCACTAAGTAAAAGAAGCCAGACTCACAAGACCACATATTGATACTGTAGGATTCCATTTTTATGGGATTTTGGCAAAGACAAAATTATAGGAATGAAAAACACATCACTGCTTGCCAGGGACAGACAGATGAGGATAGGGGTTGACTACAAAGGTGCAGCACATCAGAATTTTAGGAGTGATTAAACTTTTCTGTATGAAAATATGGTGGTGGATATATGATACATGAAAATATCTCTCAAATTCCTATAAATGTATACTACAAAGAGTGAATGTTAGTGAATATAATTTTTTAAAAAATCAACCAAGATATGAAAGTAATCCAGGATAGAATGCAAACTGTGGCAAAGAAATCTGCCTAAACTACAAATATTTGACAACCTCACTGATGGTGATGAAGAAGAAAGGAACTGACTGAATTAATTGAAAGTAATGTTATGACTGCATACTGTAAGACTAATGATAAAAAAACGGTACATGTATACTGTACTCTAGTTTTTCACAGGGTTATGAAAGCATGTTATATGTATACTAGCATTGAACAAAAAAGTAAACATATTGTAGGTAACAAGAGCCAGATTTTTCACCATTCATGACAGAGAGGGGTAGTTCATAATAAAATCTGTGGTCCTGGATTACAGTTGGTGGAGCTGGAAGTTACAGAATAAAACTTAATTTTAGCTATATTGCTATCTATTTATTGGCCTCCAGTTAGGGGTTTTTTTCATTAGTTGTTTCCTGTTAGGGATGTTATCTTTCCTACGATGTGAAACTTCTTCAAGGGAATTTCCATCCCTTCTTTAATGTCTGTACAAGAGGAGAATGTTGTATTTTATGGCTAAAGTCTAGATTCACTGCTAACTGATACTCTATCAGTGTAAAAGGCTAGTAAATTGCCTTTTTCAGATGAAAAGTTATCATTGCTTCCAGTTCATACGTAAATAAATATTGACTATAAAAGTGAAACTTGTTTGTATTGAAAGCCATGAGTGGCAAATATACATTAAAAAATGTACACTTTGAAAAGCTAAGCCTAAGAGTTTTCAACGCGCATACACACACACAGTAGTAACTATGTGAAGTGATGAATATGTTAAAGCTTGATCATGGGAATCATTACACAAGGTATATTTATATCAAAAAAAGATGCATTAAGCACATACAATTTTTATTTGTCAATTATACCTCAAAACTGGAAAAAAAGGAGAAACACATTTAGGTTATTATTAAGCCATCTAGCAATGTATATTTAAAATAATTTTGTTGTGTTTGTTGAATTTTGTTGAATCTTATATCAGGAAAAATGTTATTTGTAAGTTTCTATCAGGAAAATATAGTCTGAAAAATATTGTGTGGAGTGTTGTTTTCTAAAGCTTACTTGAAAATCCTTAGTGATCTAATTTTGTGATACTATGCTATAGAAATCCTATAAAAACATTCCATACTGTAGCAACTTAGATTAAAAAAAAAAAGTACTGGGCACTTTCTGCACAGTATCCAGGACATTTGCTCCAGAAAATACTAAATCTTCCAGTTCCCGGTGTAAAGCAATCCTGGTTTGTGAGGTTAATATATATGCCATGGGCATAGCAAGTTTATGGTTTCTTCTTCACTGAACATGGGAATCAAGGGATTTGAGAGGATTTATGAGTATCACCATTTTCACCCTTGCTATCAGATAAGAATTTATCTCACACCATAAGGAATGTAAGCTCTTTTGGAAACGTTAAAAAAGGAAATGTCACATTCAACATAGTAATTATTTCTACTGTTTAAATCACCCTCCACCCAGTATAGGCCAGTATTTCAAGTATTTACTTAATATCCAGATACTTTACTTTTTGTTCGAGTCTTGGCATAGTAATAATGTCTGTAATTGAGAATTCCTTGTATTACTCCTCCATCTTGCATTGTCTTTATTAGGTCAGTTTTGGTTTCTTTAAGTCATAAATCTCCAACCCCTTCTGAGTACTTGCCCCCCATGTAGATGAATTTCTGCAACAAACAAGGAAACTGGCACTAATAGTCTAGAGTTACAAATAACCACATGTGTTTTCAGACTCCTTACCCATTTTGATGATCATTGATCAAACATTTGAACCTCACAGAAATCAACAGACTGAGTAATTTTGAAATGTTGAATTTCTCTTCCATTAATACATGGTAGTGCGTTTTTCAAAGCAGTTTATATAGAAATAAAAGAGATAATTTGCAGTTGCCTATAAAGCCTTACAGATAACTATTATAGTGTTAATCATCTGACGCTTAAAATTTGTTTTTATTTCCAAAGTAATGTGCTTTATGTCTTCCAGAGGCAAATTTTTATTTGAATATTGCTCAAATTTCCATAAGATATCTTCTAATAAAGTAAAACTTGTGTTATATTTACTCTCCCGTTTTTTGAAACAGATGGCATCCCCTCTGAGAAGTGGATAGTAAATTTTGACAAAGACCTTTTAGATGGCCTTGTTTTTGCAACACAGTTGGGAGCCTATTGCCCGTTTTTGGTAAGAATCATTTTTATGCACGATGGTCTTCTATTATTTGAAAAAACTTAGTGGTTAAAATCTTGTAGTATATTTTCTGGTAAATGAATTATTTTAAATGTCTTCATTTTAAATCAAACACTTGAATGAGAATGGCTAGCACTGCCTTTTTGTTTATTCTTACATTTGATTGCAATAATCTATTACTGACAGATGTTAATATTTAAATGACTCTTTGCTGAATCCTAAAGAATACTTAAAAGGCAGCAATTTTTATTCCATTACCAAGAGGTTTAATTGTTGTTTTTCCCAGATTGAGTCTCATTTTATAAATATGTACACACGACCAAAAAGCCCTGAACAGTACTTGCATAATGGCCTGATAATTGTAAATGCTCTTCTTGAAATTGGCTTTAACATGGACATACAGGTGGGTGCCTTTATATCACATATTCTATAAACATTTTATAAGTTTATTCTGTTAGCTTGCTCCTTTAAACACTGCTTGTTCATAATTTTAAAATTTGAATTAGAAAAAGACTTTTCATGGAATATTGCTAATGTATTGAAAATTGAAATGTGAGGCCACACAAATCTACTGGATATTTTGAAGTTTTTATAATTATGTACATTCAACTGTGCATAATAAGTACTTCTAGTCCAGGTGTCTGAAACTACAAAAATAAAGTTTGAGTGCATTATTATAATTATCCGAGATTTAAAAATAAACTAAAGGAGCTGAGTTATTCAGATATAGATGTACTATCATCTTCTAATTTAATAGCAAAAATAACAATTTTCACTTTGTTTTTTAAATAAGTATTTGTGTAGGGATCACAGTGGCAATATACATTTTAATTATATGTTGACTTCCAAGTTATAATTGAACTTGGCCTTTCACATCAAGTCCTTGATAGCAGTAATAAAAAATATATTGTATGCTTATTATTTTATGACCCTTTTTTGTTACTTTTAGGGTAATGAAATGATATAATACATGATCTCTGACTTAATACATAAGTGCATTGAATTATAAATATACCATATTTGCCTGTTAAAAGATAAATGAAATTCTGCTCATTTAATTGACAATAGAGATGTATGCAAAAAATGAAGTGTAGTAAAAAAAATACTTTAAAAATTAATTATCTACAGATTAACATATAGAAAAGTTGCCCTGGATTTAAGTTAAACAACCAAATTTGGAGAAATTGACAATTAACTTAGCAGGCAATTTAACTTCATTAGCCAGATCTAATGTCCTTTTTATCAGCCCAGATTTACTAGCCACATTAAATGGCAGATTTTAAAATACACCCTCAAGCCGGGCTCGGTGGCTCAGCCTGTAATCCTGCGCCTTTGGGAGGCTGAGGTGAGTGGATTGCCTGAGCCCGCGGGTTCGAGACCCGCCTGGGCAGCGAGACCTCATCTCTACAAAAAAATAAAAAAATCAGCTGGGCGTGGTAGCGCGCGCCTGTAATTCCAGCTACTCGGAAGGCTGAGATGGAAGGATCGCGGAGCCCAGCAGGTCGAGGCTGCGGTGGCCGGGAGCGGCCACTGCACTCCAGTCTGGGCGACAGAGTGAGACTCCAACTCAAAAAAAAAAAAAAAAAAATACGCCCTCAAATTAACTTATCTATAATGAATTAATCCTGAGGCTTGCACTGGTCCACTTAATTAATCCTGTGAAATTTAACACTGGGCTTATTTATTAATGTTTAAATTTTTTCTTTATTATTGTCCTTCATTGCAACTGGAAAATTAGCTGGATAAATTGCTGTGCTAATGTTACAGCCTTTTGGAGAAATGGTTTTTATTTAAAGCAAAAATATTGTGGGATTTGTTTGGCTTCAGGATAGAATACAAGTTCTATTTCCTCATGCAAATATGGATATAAAAATAAGTATAAAAATGTTTACTCAGCTTGTACTACACATAATTCAATGAGTAGTGATGGGAGCTAAGGGACAATAGATAATCTAATTTTGACCCGAAAAACGTCATTTTGAGTTTTGGTTTTGTTACTGTATTCACATTGTCCAGGAAGATAGAATCAATTGAATATATGAGAGAAGATTTGTTTGGGGGAATTGGCTCATGGGATCACAGAGTCAGGGAAGTCCCTCAACTGGCCATTTGCAAACCAGAGTGACTGATAAAGTCGCTCAGTTTGGAAGTCCCAGAACCAGGGAAGCTGATGGTGCAGCACCTAGTCAAAGACAAAAGTCCCAGAGTCCCATAGAGATACTGGTGCAAGTCCCAGAGTCCAAAAACTGAAGACCCTAAAGTCTGATGTCCAATGGCAGAAGAAAAAGGTGTCTCATTCCAGAAGGGAAAGAAAGCAGAAAGAGAGACTCCCCTTTCTACCAAATGTGTGTCTCAGCCCCAACTAATGGAATGGTGTCTGTCCACACTGAGGTGGTGTTTCTGTCTAAGTTTACTGACTCGCCTTCAATCTCCTCTGGAAACACCCTCCCAGACAAACTCAGAAACAACGCTTCATCAGCCATTTAGGTTGGTTGACACTTATTCTCAATCCAGTCAAGTAGACACCTAAACTTAACCTTCACAGTCAATTAGAATATGTTCAGCTTTTGTTGTTTGTTTTGTTTTGTTTTATGTCAGAGTGTCACTCTGTCGCCCAGGCTGGAGTGCAGTGGCACATCACGGCCATGGCAGCCTCGACCTGCTGGGCTCAGGTGATCCTTCTACCTCAGGCTTCCAAGTAGCTGCAACCACAGACGTGCACTATCATACTCGGCTGATTTTTTTTTTTTTGATATATTGTGGATACGAGGTCTTGCCATGTTGCCCAAGCTGGCCTTGAACCCCTGAGCTCAGTTAATCCTCTCGCCTCCACCTCCCAAAATGCTGGGATTACAGGGCAAGCCACTGTGCCCAGCTATTTTCATTTTTAAATAACAATTATTGAGTAAATGTGGTCTAAAAAAAACAAAATTGAGTATTTTACATATGATAAAGTCAAGCAATAGTGTGAGGATAGTTATTCAGTTTTTCAGAAAAGTTGTCAGAGATTCATTTTTGCCCAGACAGTCTCAGTGCACTGGCTTCATTTTAGGCCTATATACTAATAACTCCAGAATTTCTGCTAAAGTTCTCACATAACACCTTTATATAGCTCTGTTTGGAACTTGCTGAGTGGTACCTTTTCTTGTGCCTTATTTTTTCAGAAATGTCTTTTCCAATGTCCCCACAGTGCATTTCCCATTCTGTATCCTTGACCAGAATTGCATCTTATGCTTGTGGGTAAAACAGTGGTTGATACAGAGAGAGAGAGAGAGAGAGAGAGAGAGAGAACAGCCATAAAAAGTAAGATTCTTAGTAAAGAAGAATGGCTCTTGGGAAGTCAATCAACAGTGGTCCTGAATGATCACATATGTCATTGGGTACTGCTAGTTATAGTTGGTGTCCAGTTTGAAAGATGGTGATATCTTTAGGTTATTTTTAAATGTATGATAAAGAAAGATAAGAATGTTTTTAAAGTTTGTTTTTTAGCATAATGTCTTCATAAATATATTTCCCATTAAGATGAACATATTTCTAGCTTACCAAATTGCTGAATTTTCATTCTACTATATATTGTTTTAAAGATGAGTTTTGAAAAAATACGTATGTTGCTACTTAGAACATTTTATATGATAGACACTAAAACAGTGTTCAAAAGATTTTGATTAACCCTGGACTTGAACCCAAAATATTCTGCCATTTTCTTTTTGGATCACTTCATAAGCTGGTTCAACACACAGGGCCCAGCAGAACCATATTCTTCACTTTGAAATTTACCTTCTTAGGCTTTAAATGTTAATATGGCCATTAAACTTTGTATTCCTTTCTTAACTTTCCTATATCTATTGAATCACAATATCTTCCTTGATGATTATAAGACCACAAAATACTAATGAGAAACTTTGGGGTCCTAGTGTATTTTCAAGTTTTCCTGAAGTAATACTTACAGTAAAGACAGGCCAGATTTCTTACTTTTTATTGTCAATCTCCTCTCCAGTCATCTTCATTGGTTAGCCTTACTGTCAATTGGCAAAACAAGAAAGAACAAATCTTCCCATCTTCCAAAGAAGAATAAGAGGGTATGAGGGAGTGTATATTAGCAGATGACCAAAAGGGTAGTCATTATTCTCTAAAAACTGCTGCCAAATTTCAGAATCAAAGGCATTAGTTCCACATAGCACATTAGATCTCTTTATTCTGTTTATTCTCAGTTGCTAGCTTGAGTATGTGCTGTCACATTATAGCAAATCTTCATTTCTATTTCCTGGAAGTGCAGAGAGCTCCCTGTATATTGACAGTGACAGAGTTGCTTGTGTATTAGTAGTGTTTTGTATGTATTTGAATCCATGCCTTGCACCAATCCATATCTCTGTGCTATGAATAATTCTCCACACTATCTGCATTTTTCTCTGTATAACCGGGTAGACTCCTTACCTCTGTTCCTGACTCTACTTTTTGGCTTCAACTTACCTTCTGACTATATTTATTATTGCCCCATTATTATTCCTCTGTAATTTTGAATTTTATCTCAAACTTATTCCAACAACCATTACTAATTTATCTCGTTTATCAGTGTAATTACATCTTCGGACTTATTCTTTGTTCTAGGAAAAATACTTCCCAGCCAACCCCTGTCTAATCTGCATGAATTGTTCTTGTCAAGTTATTCCTTGTTCAGAAACCAAGTTCCTCACTCTGGCATTCAAGACCTCTACAGTGTGATCCAGTACTTCTTAGTCTTTTCTCCTGCTACTTAACCCCTCTTTTCTTATGCATAATCCAAATTTTACTTCTTCTTTCCCGAAAAAACACTATGCTTCTCTATATTCTTGCCCTAATGTGCTTCATGGTTTTAGTAGAATGCACTCTTTTCCTCTCACCAAATGCAACATATTTGAAGTCTAAGCATTCTTTAAGGCCCATGTAATGTGCCATAGCCTCCTGTGGGCCTTTGCTTGAAAATCTCTTGTCATTTTTTACTTCAGTAGTTTGTCTACTTTTCGTTTTCCTTTTACTGCATTACAGGATACTTTAAATTAAGGATGGTGTCTTAGTCACATTACTTTATTTCTAGTGTATCGTATTCTTCTGAGCTCTGACTAGCTTTCACTGAGTCAAGGCTGTAAGGTCCATGTTCTTAGAACACAATTTATCTTTTAACACTTAGGTCAAGCTCTTTTGATTCAAAGCAATATTCTGTTTGCTGTAAAATATACATTTTGGTGTCATTGTCAATCAGAAACATTTAAAAATATTTTAAAGTAATTCAACAATTGGTGTACTATGTTTTTCCTCTTTTTATGTATTTTATCTATATATCCTCTGTGATGGTTAATATTGGGCATCAACTTGATTGTATTGAGGGATGCCTAGATGACTGGCGAAACACTCTCTCTGGGTGTCTGTGAAAGTGTTTCTACCAAAATAAACTCAGGAGTCAGTAGACCTAGAGAGGAAGATTCACCCTCAATGTGGTCAAGCACCATCCAATCTGCTGTAGTCATGGCTAAACAAAGCAGGTGGAAAAAAGGAGACATTCAGTTTGTTTTTTACTTTGCCTTCCCCTCTCTCTACCTATGGGAGCAAAACACTTTTTACCCCTTATAATTTTGGACATCAGATTACAGGTTCTTTGGCATTTTGACTTTGACACTTGTACCAGTAGCTTCCTGGGGGCTCTCAGGCCTTTGACCTCAGACTGGGGGCTGCATTGTCAGCTTGAAGACTTTAACTGAGTCATGCTACTGGTTTCCATGGGAGCAGCTCCTGGCTAGTCTCATTCTCCAGTTTGCAAAAGGCCTATCATGGGGCTTTGCCTTTGTGATTGTATGAGCCAATTCTCCCTAATAAATTCATATGTATATCCTATTATCCTATTGATTCTGTCTCTTTGGAGAACTTTAACTAATGCATCCTCTAATTTCAATTGATCTTCTTTGAAACTAGGCCTCTGACATCTATGACCCAAATCCAATCCTGATGCTCATGCTTTGTGTCTACATGTATGAAAGACTCCCTACATACCTCCCAAAGAAGGTGGTTCCCTTTCATTGTACTCTACATGACACTGTGCTGACACAGGTAAGGATATCTTTGGGGCCAAAATGCACATGAAGTTAAACACTTAAGAGGACTTTTAGTATTTATTTCCCAGCCCCAATTTAGCAGCAAGTATCTATAAGATATAATTTCACTAAAATTGAGTAAACCTTATTAAATGTTGTCTCTTCTATGCTAAAGTTCTAGAAGAAAGGGGCAACTTTTGCTCAGTGATAATTATAACCAGCAATGAAATGACGACTCTCTCCTTCCCATTTTATACAAAATAAAATAATATTCTGCATAAAAGTTAACTTACCTCTTTGGTAAGATGCATATTTATTCCTTTTTCTCAGGCTGTTTTATGTATTCTTCTTTTTATTTAAGTAGGGAGGAATAATTTTGTTTTTGATGCAAAACATCCATATTTGGTCTTCAAAAGAGATGAGACATGCCCTGGTGATCCTTGATTTGTAGTTGTAATTTCTTTTTTTTTTTTTCCTTCTTTTTTTGAGTCAAAGTCCCACTCCATTGCCCAGACTGAGGGCAGTGGCACGCTTCCAGCCACCGCAGTCTCAACCCACTGGGCTCCAGCAGTCCTTCGGCCTCAGCCTTCCAAGTAGCGGGAACTACAGGCACGCGCTACCACACCCGGCTAATTTTTTATTTATTGTAGAGACGAGGTCTCGCCAAGTTGCCCGGGCGAATCTCCAACCTGCGGGCTCAGGCAATCCACTCGCCTCGGTCTCCCAAAGTGCTGGGATTACAGACTGAGTCACCGAGTCCGGCCTATAGTTGTGATTTCTTTGAGAAAATAGCTGTGTCGCCTCCATGACAGTGTGAGCAGTGGGTGGTATGAATTTAGTTAAAAATTAGGAAAAACTCAAGTTCTTGTCTCAAAGTATAAAGCGCTCAATTTAAGGAAAGGAAGGCCTCCCTTTCTAATTTTGTGTAGTAAATATTGGGATATGACCTTTTTAATCTAATTTTATTTCTTTTCTTTTTGTTAAGAAAGAGATACAAAACTCTAAAATATTTCAACAGTATTGACTGTGATGATTCCTAATTGCAATGATATTAAAGTGCTTTTGATACTAACTGGCTTTGAGCTGTAATTACATTGGAGAGGACTTTTTACTTCAAAATAAAATTTCAAAAGAGTTAAAAGTGGTTTTGCTTAAACTTACAGGAGATAGAAGTCTAAATTAGATTGAGTAGTGATTTATTGCAGTTAACTATTATTACCAGTTCTCTAATTTTGTCCACATGTTAGTATTTTTTATACAATTTAATCATCATTTTTAAAAAGTAGTTAATATTTACACTAGCTAATGTTTAAACATAAATTTTAATTATGATGTTAAAACACAAATCACATTTTTTTTTTTTGAGTTGGAGTCTCACTCTGTCACCCAGACTGGAGTGCAGTGGCCGCTCCTGGCCACCGCAGCCTCGACCTGCTGGGCTCCAGCGATCCTTCCACCTCAGCCTTCCGAGTAGCCGGAATTACAGGCGCGCGCAACTACGCCCGGCTAATTTTTTTATTTTATTGTAGAGATGAGGTCTCGCCTGCCCAGCAGGTCTTGAACCCGCGGCTCAGGCAATCCACTCACCTCAGCCTCCCAAAGGCGCAGGATTACAGGCTGAGCCACCGAGCCCGGCTACAAATCACATTTAAATGGAACATTTCTTTTTTATTTTTTTATTAGAAATAATATTCATATCTTAAAATTATATATCAGATTATATAGACTTTTATTCTTCACAAATATAGATTTTAAATAAAAAATAAATATAAATGCAAGATAAAAAGTAAACTACAAAAAGCTTTGATTTTAACTTTCATTTAAGAAAATCAATGATTTAGAAATTTCTACCTGTGAATCTTTGATATAGTTTGCTCCTGTGATTCAAGACCATTCATGACCATGTCTAAGCCATAGAATGTCATTCTTACCAACCCTATCAATTTCTATATTCCAGAATATAGAAAAATCTTAAGAAATGACTGATAGAATTTTAAAAGTATTTTTTGTAGCTAGGAGTCATTCATGGAAACATAGAATGCTGGAACTGGTTTAAAAAAAAAGTGGTGATCAGTGAAAAATAGAATACAGGGATTTTCTAAGACATTCAAAAATAATTGAACTCTTTTTAAAAGCAAAATTTACATAGAAGAGCAATAGTCAAAAAATGACATTGCAGAAAATAAACGAAGACTTTAAGAAGTTGTTTTCTTCCCTTGGACAACTGTCTTTTCTTCCTATCTACCTCTCCTCACCCCTACATGAAATCCTAAAGTTGGGTGAAATAGTCTGACCACAAGTGAATCCAATGCCTTTGTGTCATATATATGACATAAGAAGAATGAATAGTTTCCTTATGATCTAAGCAGTTCATCTAAGCTTTAACTTAAAATACAACAAGGAAAATAGGAATTTGTAACTAAGGAGGAGAACAGGGTTCGGTGAATAAGAAATGACTAAAAGGAAACATCAGAATAAGGAGCTGAATGAACATAATAAACTTCTTGCTGAAGGCAAGCCAGGGTGATTACACATCACCTGAGGAATGATGGGGATATAAGGAATTTGCTCAGATATCAAGGGTAATTAAATATCAAAGGTGGGAAATCTGGATAAACTGACCCAACAGGCTTCTTGATAAAATTAAGCTCTTGAGGGCATGCCCAAAGGTGAGGCCTAGTTTAAAAAGAGCTCAGAAGATCCTGACTAGAGTTTAATCAAGGAGAAAATCTCTGTCTTCCTAATATATTTTTGAATCTTAATTTTTTGAATCTTAATTTTATTCTACACAAACACCTCATATACTCACGTTTTTCAAGAAATACTCTCTTTTGCAATTAAGTAACTCATCCTCTAGTACTCTTCACCTCTCTAAGCCAGGAAGAAAGACATAGTAAACCCTTAGTTAAACTACCTTCTAGACCAGGCTTCTAGACCAGACCACCATAATTTCCAACCTGGAGCTATATCTTTAAACCTATCCTCCTTATAATTCTTCCTGTATTGAGTTGCCAGAGTATCATTTTTGTAAATTTAATTATATAAGTTATCTGTTTTAAATTATCCAATGGTTTCTCTTTGCAATAATAATAAAATCCAGGTTGCAAATCGTGGTCTTCAAATCTGATGATCAGATAATTTTGTAACTATCATTTCCTTTGTTGAAAGCTCCTTCTCTCTGTCCACTTCACCTAAACTATATATAATTTATAATATAGTTATGTATATATATATAATTTATATATAATCTATATATAGTTATGTATATATATCATTATGTACATATCTATATACACACAGTTATGTATATTTATTATCTTTAAATACAAAGTTTAGTTTCCTTCAGTTAGTGTGCTTTAGGAAAAGCCATTTTATAATTAAAATGCATAGCTTTCTGAAACAAATACAAATTATATAGTCGCATAATTTTTTTATTAAACATATTTTTTATTTTAAGATTGTGGGGTACAGTTAAGGGTTAGGTATACAAATATGCATCCTTCAGGCACCCTTGTTGATAAGGGGTGTCCGCCTGTCCCCAGAGAGATATTGACTACCATTAATCCCACCACCCTTGCCCTCCCTGTCCCCCCCATAGATTCCCACTACTGTTGATCCTTTTCTTATAGTATTATGATAGATGTTCAAGGTTCACTTATAAGTGAGAACATGTGATACTCAGATCTTTATTGCTGTGAAAGATCACTCAGTATTATAGACTCCATTTCCATCCAGGTTGCTGTGAAATTCATGATTTTGTTCTTTTTTATGACTGCATAGTATTCCATCATGTATATGTACCACATTTTTTTAATCCAGTCCTCTTTTGATGGACAGCATGGTTGGCTCCAGGTTCTTGCTATTGTGAACACTGCTGTGATAAACATACGTGTGCAGGTATCTTTTTGATAGAGTAATTTGAGTTCTTCAGGGTATATTCCCAGCTGGGAGATTGCGGGGTCATATGGGAGGTTGATATTCAGATAGTCGCATAATTTTAAAATTCATAATGTTATTTATACCCTCCTCTGCTTCTGTATAGGTTCTACTGACAAATTCAAGCTTGAAAAATTTAGTGTATAATGCTAAAATTGTTGGAAGAGATGCCATTGACTTCTCTCTCTCCCCAATGGAAAATGCTGTGACAATTTCTCCAAAGTAAGTATCTTTTCAAAATTTATTTTATTGAACATATCAACCCTAAAGATTTACTAAATATTATAACTATTAAAAATGATAGCCGGGCTCGGTGGTTCAGCCTGTAATCCCGTGCTTTGGGAGGCTGAGGTGAGTGGAT